AAAATACAAATTCAAGTAAAATAAATCAACTTTGTGTTTATTCGTGAATAACCCACCAATTTGCATTTAAAATTGATAAACTACATCAATTAAAATTATTAATTTTGCAGTATTTTTTTAATTTAATTTTGGTACCTATCACTTTTCGTATAAAACAAAAGCCGTAGTTATAGCATTTTTTATGTAATTTTTTTTTATTCTCCGTGCAATGGCAACATAATATACAGGGTGTCGAATTTAAAAACAAAAAATTAAAGTCATTTATGAATGTTGTGTGCAATACAATGAGTTGTTTTTGTTTTAGACTTTTGAATAGTTCTTTCGTTTTAGGTTTTGCCCCTCAGTCTTCTTATATTTGGCAAGCATAGTACCGGCAATTTGGCTTTTAGAACTGGACAAAGTAGATAGAAGGTTGAGAACGCGCGAGGAAATGATAAATTTGACAGCAAACGCGGGAAATCAACTGGCGCAACTGAACAACTTCATAGGGGCAAGTTATTTTAAATCTGTAAGGCAAATTAACTTCTTTCATAGGTACAAATCCAACTCCCGGAAATTAATTTGAGCACCGAAACCTGGATTAATCTGATAGAACAATTTTTGATGCTAATTCTTATTATCGGAAGGTGGATGCTACCGAAAGGCGATCTAACTAGAGACCAATTAAGTCAAATTTTATTGGTGTACATTGGTACTATTATGTGGTATAAAGGAAAACTGTAGGTGGTGTGTTTTATTTTTAGGTACAGCCGCAGATATTATAGAATTTTTTGACTCTTTCAAAGACGACAAAGTAGCGTCAGAAGAGATCCTAGTCATACTAACTCTGTCAATATGGTAGGTATGAACTTTAAAGTGGTAATAGTTTGCATGTTTAAATAATTTGTAGGACCTGGAGCTTAATGCAATTTACAGTCGTATTAACGGCTACAAAATCAAGAAAATCGCGAATGTCCTCAACTGGACCATCAAAAAAATTGTAAAAGCGAAATGCCTAGTTTGTTTGCACTAACAGAATGCGCGTTTCAGAACAAATCGATGTTGCAATATTGACGTTTGGGGAATCGCATTAAACATAATACTCCAAGACGCTCCATTTTTGGCGTTTCGTCTTTTAATGATAGTCCACTATAAGATCATTTCGTATATGAACGTATTCTTTACGTGCAAAAATACGCTCGTTATTGTTTTACAAGTGTACAGGTTGCACGTGGTCTACAGCGAAAACAAGCGAATGTCGAAAACCAAAGATTTCGAATTGACGAGCATTTCAATTATTTCCAAATCGGACGTATCCACTTATCAAACTCCCAAAAAACATCAACGTGTGCAATCACGTAAAGAAAGAGTTCGGAAGAATAGTGCTCCTGGGTAGGTATAATGGCAGTTTCTTTGGAACGATTAACTATTTCAATGTTTAGCAAAGCAAAACCAAGTCGAAAGGATACAGGGTATTCAACCGAAAGTTCGCATAATAGCTCGAAACACAAAGTACGGCGAGAGGACAAAACGGCCCGACGCGAGAAACCGCAGAAGAAGGAAACGACGTCGGAAGACAATTACTCTGATTCATCTCGTACCTCTGAGAAACCTAACGCGAGATCAAAACGTCGATACACGCGACAATCGTCCACGTCTCCGTCGACAGAATGACGTCATCTCACAGCCATATTGGCAATATTCCTTCTTTATATTTTGATATTTATTTGTTGCTTGATTTTCATTTATTGCGGAATTAATACGGATGGCTTAATTATAGCGAGAATTTATAATTCAGTTCGAAACTCAACACTTCGACAATAAAGAGTATTGTTAATTACAATCTTAGAGCAGTAATAATCGTAAAATAAGGCACTAGCTTAATTTTTGGAGAGAGATCGTATGTAGTTTGCAAGGGAACTAGTATTAGTATTGTTCAGTAAAGAATATAAATCACATGTATCGTACAGGAGCGTTGTTAAATTACTCAACGCATCGTTCTCACTATCCTCTTCAGTTAAATTGTCCTTTTGATTAAGAATTGTGCGAAACTGCTTCACCTCAGTTACATAGTCCAACACGAGATGCAAATTCTTATGGGCTATAATACCAAGTTGATTATTATGCTGTTTCCTCTCTACGTCCTGAGAATATCTAACAAATTTTTTACTCCTCTTGGTCGCTCTGATCGCTTTTTTCGTTCCACCATTAACGTATTCTATGGTAGAAGTTTTTTCATTATACCAAGACGTTTCGTGCAAACCGTCAACGGGCCATTCGCGATAATCGTCTTCTCTTAGGGGACTGGGAGGATTAAGAATTGCTCCAGTTGTTCGGTTAGACTGACGAATAGGAACGGCTCTCTGGAAATAATTAGACCAGTAAATTAATCGTGAATATTTGTTTGGGTCAATATATGTATGACGCTTCCATTTTTGGATCAAATCACTGTTACTATTTACCGATAAATATAATAATTTAATTTATAATAAATTGTCAGTTATTGGCTTAAAAATGATCAACGTAGTACAGTTTCCAAACTCGAGTTCCACACATTTTCAGGATCCAGGAAAAAGGACCCCACCCAAGATCTGAGAACCGACGTGTAAAGCACACGCCTGCAGATCGTATGACTACATACCCAGAATGCGGTATGTAAAACAAATGCAAGTAAAACGGTTCCTAAAAGGCCGTTCACTCAAACAAACTTCAAAACAAAAACTAAAATGACGCGATTTGGACTTACCCGACTATTTCTTCTGGAGCGAGCGTTAAAAACTGAAGGCGGAATTGACAAATTTTGCGCCAGCTTAATTGACGCCTTGTCCATTTGTGTTTTTCGGGCAGGATTTTTTCTCTCCGGAAGAGTAACTTTTCGTGGTAAAACCGGGTCAAGTTTAGTTTTGCATTTCTTAGGACTTTTTATTTGGTATTGTTCTACAAAAACCACGTCCTCATCGCAGGATCCTGGGGGTAATTCGGTATCTTCGGTCTTTAGTATTGAAAGCGGTGGCGTAATTTCTTCTCTTGTGGTTGTAGTAGTTTGCCGACTGGTGTTCTCAAAATCGAGTGTCCCATTCGAAATTGTACCGTTAAGCGTGATGCAGTTGGATTGTGGTAAACATCCGTTGGGACTATAGAATACAGAATTGAACGGTGAGATTGCGTACTGCACGGGAAAGTTACACGTTCTCCAATCAATATTTATGTCATTGTGTGCAAGTGTCGGATAAATGTTGATAATCTTCATGTCTTCGTTTGAAACGCTGAAATTATGCGCAACTTCTACTTGCTGCTTCGCCACCTCCGAGGGATACACTAATTGAACGTGAACCTAAAACAAATCTGTTTCAGTTCTATGCCTATGGGTTGCGTCTGGTGAAGTTGCTCCAAGTAGGCATAGAGTACCCCTAGTCCGTGGCTCTCTAGTTGGAGCAACTTGCAGGAAATCAACGAACAGACAAATAGACGCTCGGAAATAGATAAACAATTCGAGGCTTTTAGTAGTCATACCGAGCACCGAGTGAGATTTTTTCAGTCGTGGGGGCAAATACGAAAACGAAACGGAAAGTACAAATTCAACTATGGTTCCGCTAATTAAAATGGGAACCCTTTCCCGAAAAGATTATAGCGAGTCGTCCCTTTGGGAGATATGACATTAATCATCTGAATCGTCATTTGCATCATTTTCTTTGCTTAATGCCGCATTTATGGCTAGAGTAAGTATAATACTGTGCAAATCAAAGCGACCTACAGGGAAAGGTTCTGGTTGAAAGTGTATTAATTGCATGAAAAACTAATTGAAGTAATCGTGTACTAAAAGAAAATAAAAATCTCTACCTACTTGATTATTTATGACAGTTGCATCTTCTGTCTTCCCAATTCTGACATTGTTTAAAAGTTTTGAATTATTCACCTCGTCCACGTCTTCCTCGATGCCTTCACCTAAACTTTTGCCATCGATAACCATTGCTACACCATTGAAGAGACAATCGTCGTTAACTGTATGCAATGACGGCATAGTGTCGGTTAAACGATTTCCCATTTGATTCTGTTAAAGAATTATCTATTGAGAAGATTAAAACCTACATTCGTCAAACACAACAGAGTGGCAGTTCACTGAAAGGTGATCATTAATTCCACCTTAAACCTGAATTCAGTAAACTTCCACATGAAAAATTAATTAATTATAATAGCTACGCACCTTTTCTTCAAAATGCAAAATAAATCCATAAAATGTCACGAAGCATAAGAGTAGGTATAAGTACGCGCTGTAAGTGCGTAGAGTGCGCCTACTAAAAATGAACATTGTTTTTTATGGCATCAGGTGACAAGTGGACGTTACCTGCTGATTTACACCAACAAAATACCTAGTTTCTCCCCAATAAGCCATTTCAAATGCCAATGGTACTAAATTTCTTGCAGTTTTTGAAAGAAATATTTGTTCATAGAGAAATTCATTAGGCACCCGCGTTTATTATTGCTAAAAATTCACAATTATAGCCTTTCGCAAGGCAAAGAAAGAATCAAGCATCTAATGATATGACAGTGGAAGGATAGGAGAATGTTTTCATAATGTAACACGGCGTCTCTCTCATTTTAAAAATCCTACAATTAAACTGACGCCATCACGTCGTTGTTTAAAGATTAGTTGTACCCGCTTTCAGCTAAGCCATGTAAACCAACTTGGAAGTCCTCAAGAAGATATTCATTACTTTGAAAAAGTTCGAACCTTACCCACTTCCAACACAAGTTTTCTAGATTAACAGAAATTTGGTTTTGGTGGTCAATATTCGATATTCTCACGCGTTGGGCGTCAGTGTACGTAGCATTTAACATCCGGTTAATTGGTATATATTTTCACTTCCTATTTTTGGCAGCAAGAGTCCGCTTGACATCGTCCGTGTAATCACAGAGATTAATGCATAATAGACGAGTCACCTACTTTATCTGTTTCTTCTCGTTGTTCTCGAAACAGCGCTTCGCTATCTCGCACATAGCGTTGTTAGTAAATAAAATCAATTAATTTATCCGATAACGCCTTTACAAATCTTCTGACCGTACTTTTATCTTACGCCGCCCCTGAAAAAATTTTGACTACTATTCCAAATGCGTAAACCGGAAAATACTTAAATTTTTCACTACAGGGTGGTTCCCTCGGATCTTCGACATTGTTTCAAACGAGAAAACGAGACCTACCCCCTGCAGTTTACACAACAATATAATACAGCTCTAATTAGATTGTCGTTTACATTACGCGACGGTAAGTGTTATAGTTGACGCTTAATTGTTTTTTACTCTCTCTTAATTTCATGATAATTCGTACCTATTTTTCTGCGCGAACAAAAGTGGTAGTATGCTGGAATGAATGCGCTTCAAACTTCCTTTACTTTTAACTAACGGAACTCGCGTTATTACATTTTACATTCCAAACACACATACTAGTTGCGATGGCTGTTCAAAATCGAATCTGGTTCACATCTTTCACAATGGCTTCCCCATTTGTAATAACGACGATCTGAACACGAATCCTTTTTCCAAACTTTACCAGTAAACCCACTCGATACTATCGATTCCATCTCGATCTCAACGCGAAAATAAAATCTTAAGTTGCGATGTTTGTTAATCACTTTCAGAACTTTGTCGACAATCGTACAGTTCTTTAGCGTGACCAGAACGCGAACGCGAACGCCTTAAAAATCTCCCGGAATGATGCTTAATTAATGACTCCTACAAAATGGCGAATTATCAAACCAGGCGGCCATGTCTAATCACTCTGTCTTTCTGCACTACCCATTAAAGCTGACATAGGGTCCTCAACATCATCTGATGGAAGAAAATGATAGCACAGATGAATATTTGGAGAATCCAATCACAAAATGTACCTGCACCTAATGTATTACCTACTAACATAAAATACAGCATGTTTTTATAAATTGTGTGATATTTAATATTTTACTATTTTATTCTATTTTGTTATTTGTTGTTTTGTTATTGTATAAGCGCTCACCTTTTGCCTCTTCGATTGAGGAGAATATTCAGAGACAAATTTTTCGCGTATCTTCCCAGAACAGCCTTTCCAATAGGAATTTTCCGAACGAATAATTGAAAGTCGGATTTAGACTCGGTTTTGGAGAAGAATCTTCCGAGGACGATCTTTCTTCTCATATGCTATGCTGTGGAGACAAATTTACCGCAATAAGAGGAACTAATTATGAAATATGAAATAGTTAACCACATTTTTTTAACCAAAGAAGACTAATTTGAAGTAATGAAATAAACACACGTAGGTAGAAATGTTTGTAAGAAAATTGTTCTCGCTCTCACGTGCAGGATTAATTGATTTATGCATGTAATTACATACACAAAACTTGCTACAATGGATCGAATTCTTTTATCCAAAAATATATAGGACCCAAAAACTTCCAACAAACGTCAAAAATTTTACTTTATTGTACAAATCTAACTCATTCTTCCTCGCTTCTATGCGAGCCTAATTTAACCCTATTTGATTCCCACCCCATTGTGAGATCGAGTGCAAAGTGTTCCTAAATTTAGTCCACAAACCACAATTTACTTTTTTGATTTGTTTTGGCACCCTGCCCGGTTGTTCTGATTGCCAAATGATTCGCTATCGAATTAAATCTTCATTTATTGCTTACAGTCGTGCGCGGTTGAATAGAGGCCTGTTAAATGTCCCAAAATGTATTTTTATAACCGTGTAATCCTTCAAAGAAATAAAACTGCGCCGAAATAAACGCATTCTTATATTATACTTATTTGATTGACCCACTTGGACATAATCCAAATGTATCGTTATAAAAAATTCTTCGCGTCCGAAGCGAGAATCCTTACTAATGAAGTAAGGGTACGTCACCTGACCTAGATGCGTTCAACAATTTCCTTGCATAAATCAGTCTGGACGGTTGTCAACAGGAAGCACATTTGTATAGATTAGTCTAGTAATGAATGGGGAAAATATGGGTAATAGCCGATATTTATAGTAGATAACCATTATTGCATCGGATGACAAATGTGATGAGGTACGTAAAATACCAAAAAAGTAAATGATTTATTTTTCCTGTTTCAATACGTGTCGGTGCGTAAATCATGTAACTACCGGAGACTTTTGGCTTCATTACAAACGATAATAATAGACTGTCAAATTATTATCTTTTTGAAACGCAAATAAGTTCGTCATGAAACGAAATTATGCAATACAAACAATATTTTTTGCGTTTAGCTTATATTTTCAGAACGCAGACGGATGTGCCATATCGTTTACTCCATTGCCCAAATTGTGCCATCGATTCTTTAGGTTTAACAAAAAATAAAAGTAATAACACGTTGCCCTCGGCAACTAGTCAATTTTATCAAAAAATATTGAGGTAAATAAATAAAAAACGTTCCGGCTGTAAAAACAAATGGATTAGAGCAACGAAGGATCCTGGAAATCTTCCAAACAGGTTGCATTGAACTTCACTTTATTACCCTTGGTTGGTTGGTTGGCAATTTATCTTCAGTTCGCTTTGTATCGTGACATGGTGCAACTAATGTCAGTTTGGACATCATTTTCTTGTACATCCTCCTGATTGAAAGAGTTCCAAAATTTTCCTTTATGACTCATTTGAGCAAGCGATTTTAACGCAATTATGGTAAATTTATATTGCCAATCTCTAAACAATAAAGTTTTTGGTTACCAGAAAATTGGAGATGCAAACCAAGAGATAAGATGACGTCGCTTTCATTCGACTACCATAAGCAATTTTGCCTGACTTTAAAGGCGAAAAAAAGTACATTCAAAATTACGTAACTGAAGTGGCGGTCACTTAGGAAAAACTAAAACAAAATTACGGGAAACTCCCTAGCGGGAATGAAAGCAACAAAGCACAAATCGGCGGAAGCGAAGGAAAAGCAAATTAAGAACCTACCTACTTAGGAACGATGCGCCCAACTTAAAACGTTTCTAGATACCGAGTGTTCAGTAAAGCCGGTCGACTCCACAAATTTACGGTGTGGTCATCATAACTTCGCCCCCAAAGCAAACTCGTCTAACAATTATTCGTATTCAGAAAATTCGTCACCGAAAGATTTACTCACTACGATTTAACTTGTTCTAAGTACGTTCCGGTTCAATCCAGCTCGATACCGAAGAATTACAGAATATGTTCAAGAAAGTTTCTTCCATTTCTATGACATTATTCGCCCCGGCAAATTTAATTCCATCCTATATTTTTTCTCAAGAAACATCGTCACCACGGTAATTCTCCCCCAGAGTTTTCGTTCCCAAGGAGAATTCGCCCCTCTGTCAGAATACGCGTTCGTCAGTAATTTGACTAAGAAATTCACCTTCGAGAAAGCTCAACTGCAAACGATTTTCTCAAAAATTTGCCCCCCCCCCCCCCCCCCCCGCACCCAAGTCGTTCTGATGATGTAGATACTACCTACACCATATAAGAAACAAACCACAACGAAAAAGCTTAGACTGTTATAGTAGCGCTACAGACGAACAATAGCGTTCACTTTCCTTTTGCGACAATTGATATAATGGTTATTTATCATTGTGATAAGCTTTCAGAAACTTTTTACAGCGGATATTCACCATCCACCACAATCAAAAGAATATGTTCATAAACGGCAAAACCATTTTTATTCTTACTTAAACTACAAGCTTCAAACTATTTATGGCAAGGAGGATACTAGATTTTGAAATCACAAAACGAAGGTCATGTTCGTGGTCATGTTTAGGGTCGGTCACTCACTGCCAAACGAAGTGTTTGTCATATAAAGTTGAACATAGTAACGCAACACAAAAGTAATCTAAAAATAATTTGAAACATTAGTTTTTTTATTTTAAATAAACAAATGGCTGTCCACGAGTCAGTCTCATTATCTAGCATGATGGGCACCTACCCAATTACATATAGAGGCATTAAGGCAATAAATTTAGAACAAAAGATTGAATACATTCCCATACCATTCAGATTCCATCTGAGTATGTAAAGGATTATTCAAGGAATTTTTAAACAGTGCACTTATTATGAAAACGATCAGGATTTTGGCAAAGTTTAATGTCAACCATATGATCCCAAAATATGCGGATCGGAGTCGGAGCGAATGTAATTAATGATTCGGCGGCACCAGATACTTAAAACCTTCGCCGCACGTGAGCTAATTAAAAACTCTCAAACGCCAGTAAAATATACAAACAACACAAGGTCCAAACCAAACCCGAGGAGAATGCGATGCCTTCCAAATTACTGAAACATCTTCATCTGAATCATCAGTTTAAAGATAGACTGTACTTACAATGGAATTTTTTAAAATTGCTTATGAATTATAATTTTGGTACGTAAGGGAAAAGTTCATCAATGAACCCGATTCCCAAAATAAAATACTCTACACGAAAAATGTGTCGGACATGACGTGCAACGTTTAAGTCTAATAATAATAATAGTAAGTATTTAAATTTTGCTAGCACGTTATTCATTGGCGCTGTAATGCGTACTACGTTCAAAGTTTGCTGTTTTTGGAAATTTACATCCGCACTTTCGGCCGTCTTAAAAATATAACGGTGAAACCACCAGGTGTATTAGTCAACGAATTGCATATGCACAATTTTTAGCTACCTACACAAACCATAGGATAACTGATTGAGTAGGTATAAAAAAATCAGCTATATTTCTCTAACCATGGAATACCTACCTACTGTTCAAAACCGATCACCTATCAAGGAATGGTAATTAATTGAATCACATCCCACACGCAGTATAAACTCTAGAATATTTTATACAAATGTCGAATGTTTATTTTCAAAAAAAATTCCGTGCATACTATTTTTATCTTTTATATTATTCCAATAACAATTTCGCGTGAGCGGTATTACTTATTCCCAATTGAACAGCTCATTAGGTCTACCCCACACTCTGCAACTCAGAAAGTGAATCCAATCGTATTCGATCAATGACAGGAATTTTTGAATTAAGGGCATCTCGCAAAAGTAAAAAAAGAGAAAAAGGAATTGTAAAAGGTTTAAAAGTACATACCTAAGTAGGTATAGGTATAAGTACTCATTTTGCTGTATACAGGGTGGTGAGTTACCTAACGCATCATAGGGATTTCAATGTAAAATTCATAACATGCGATTATTGGCTCCCCACATTATTTTAGAGCAAAAATGTATTAAGGTTTTTTGTAGAAAATTTTTTTACGTCAATCAACCGTATTAGTTTTCAATTTTTTGCATAATAAAGACGGAAAATTGGAAAATAAAACCTCTTTTTCAATTATCTGTGATGCCATGGAATTGTATAATACAAAAACTACGCCAATATCCGTCATGCCATGGAATGTCTGCTATAAAACAAATCAAATTCTACCAAAAAGTATTAAATTTAGAACAGCGAATTCAACATAAAGAAATACCAAATTACTAAAAACGATTTCCTAATATAACAATGTACAATAAATGTTCGAATAAGTCACCATTAACTGCAATACAGTAACCAAGTCGATCATAAAAGCCATTTCGAACTGCTGCTAATTGATAACTGGATATCTTTTTTTCTTTTAGAAAATTCCATGGCATCGCAGATTACTGAAAAAGATGGGGGTGTTATATTTTTCCGTCTTTAGGTATTATCAAAAAAATTGAAAACTAATACGGTTGATTGGCGTAAAAAAATTTTTTCTACAAAAAACTTTGGAGCCAATAATCGTATGTTATGATTTTATGAATTTTACATTGAAATTCCTATGATGCGTAAGCAAGTCACCGCCCTGTATATTGCTTCGTTCTATAACAACATCCTGTATATGCAATTTGTTACATTAACATTCATTGGGAATCGATGCAGTGTGTATGTACAACATTAAAATTGGAGCATATATACTATATAGCGATTTTGATAACATTTTCGAAAACGACGCAGGGTGTAACAATTAAGTATGTAAAAAATTGAGTGGTAGCGAACCCCAAAAGCCAAAACAAAAATTTTTGCAAGTACATAGGCTGAAGGTTCAAAATGTATCGTTTAGATGCTACGCTCCATTTGGATTTTTTCTTTAAAGCCGTTTTATGACTATATGAATATGTGTACTAAATTTGTTTCAAATCGGTTCAGCCGTTTAGTCGGAAATGAGAGTTTGACACACTTGCACATGCACAATTCTGCTCTTCCTTTTATGTCTAAGAATATGTGTACCAAATTTGGTCCCAATCGGTTCAGCTGTTTAGCCGGAAATAAGAGTACAGCTTTGCCCTTTTTGTATCGTGTAATTCATTCCTTCTTTCCTGTAAAATCTCAGAAAAATCCATTCACAAATCAGAGAACAAGCCTCGGCACAACGAAAAAAGTAGAATATCTCGATCTGAAAGCGACACAGCCGTAGAGACGGGCGGACAAAGTGATCACAATATTTTCTTTATTTCTGTATAATTAATGTATTCTACAGGGCGTTTGTTAAACATGTGACAACAAGAGCTTACTACCTATTCCTTGGACTATTCTAAGCATGTTTTTTTATAGAATGAAAAAACAGGAGTTGTTATCTTAGCAACATTCCGAAGATCATTGGATTGGCAGAGGTGGACATCACTTACTATGGCCTACTCGATCCCCGAACTTAAAATCATTAGTTTACACTCAGTTCAGGTCAGTGGAAGATTTAAGAGATCAAATAATTGCTGGGAGTAACTCAATAAGAAACGACCCTGCTGTTTTTGAAAGAGTCCGGGAGTCAATGAGGAGAAGATTGAATGGTTACATCCGAGCTGGAGGTAGCCATTTTGAACAATTCTTGTAGATTAAGAAATGATACTTACATATGTACTTTTTAGTCATAAATATTTGTCATTATTGCTAAAAATGTTTTGTCCCGTATTTAGGCAACAAAGCACTTTTTCCTAAATCATCAACGGGTAAAAGGAAAATATATGCTTTGAAAAAGACCAACAAATTACCTCTTTAATTTTTGCCGCATGTTTAATAGACGCTCTGTATACAATTCAGGGGCGCCATTTGAGGGGGACAAGAGAGCACCCCTCTCAAAGTATTCGAAAAAATAATCAAAATATAGTAAACGTGTAATGTGTGCTGCATGAAACGTATCTGTTTAGTACCTATAAAAAGTAGGTACGTAGGTATATTCATTTTAACAAGTAGAATTGATGTCAGTTATAATATTCGTATTTGTAGAGCAAGTATACCTATAAAAGCAAACCAATATTCCAGTACCTATAAGGCAAATTAAAAGCGTAGGATACCTACGTTAAAGTTTCGTTATAAATTATGACATAAACTAATACGTATACGTATACTTACTTAATTTTGATAGGTAGAATACCTATACCTAATTTTTATCCGTATTTTAGAGGAAGCAAATAAACCAATATTCCCGTAAGGTAAATCTCATCAAATTATTGCTAAAAGGCCGTTTATTTATATACCTAATATCGACGTAGAACATTAATTTTTAAACGTAGGGCATAAGATCGATCTACAAAAAAACGTATATCATTAGGTACCTACTACCAATACCGATTTATCCATTCAAAGCGCTTTAAAAACGTTTTTTAAACGTAAGTGTGTTTCCTAGGTCCTTTTTCATGTTAAACGACCTATAATTTTCTGAAAGGAATAAAATCCCAACGATTGTGAAACGAAATTTAAAATACATTTTTTTACAAAAGTGTATCATCATTTAAAAAATGTTTATGAGAACATGACATCAATTTGATAGACCTTAATGGCTTTGATTGGAATCTAAAAAGGGCCACCGCTGGATTCTGTTTGTACATGATCTGTCGTACCCTTCTGACCTTATATTTTGTAAGGCATAAAGAACCAAAAGCAATAGAAGACTCAACAAAATAATATTGGAAATATTCCTATAATAAAGATACGTCAAAGGCATTAATCAAAAATTGTGGAAAACTAACGGAAGTAATGTGGGCGCCTTTGAATGAAAATAAATTAGAATCATTTCCCTATAACGATTAACGGCATTCTCAGAAACTTTACTATTACGATTAATGTAAACACATATTTTAATAGATATAAATAGTTGAATAATTTTAACGTGAATAATATTCACAAAGAAAATTTATAACGTCGTGACGTAGGGAAGCGACGCTTGGCGTCCGTCAGTTTTCTATATATTCACACATTCATTCGCACAAATATAAGTAGCCAAAACGACAAATACCGATTAATACTTGTGAGTGGTTTCCTTAGTTCAGTACGCGTTGGTGACTTAACTCAAAAAAATTTCTTATTTAAAACAATACCTAGTTACTCTTAGTGCAGGAATATTTTGTGCGTCCACCTACAATTTCCAATTTAATCATGCAATCAACAGATTGTCTAGCAGAGGAAGTGCCAGTAAGTGTTTCGAGTGAACATTGCAGTTAACAAATTGAAAAATTCGAAAAAAGCATTTTATTATAGTTGATCACAAAAAGCCCACGAGTAGCATGTTTCACGCTATATTTAGCACATAATGGTATGCTTTTATGAGCGAAACTTGCTCCTGCCAAAATTTCTACCAACACTATTGTCATCCAAAATTGTTTCAGAACCCTCAGCAAAGTTGCTCCTTGAAGGATAGAGTAGCCTTATTCAACACCTTTGCAAAAAGCCACGTAAACAAACAATCTATAAATCCATTTTCTAATGACATTGGCAACATGCAAAGGAGAAAATTCTCGAAGGAGGAATACGGAAGGTAGGTAGGTCACGTGAAAATCACATCCGAAACTTAATTAAAAACGATTTAGGCCGGAAAAGGGATCCAAGTCGGAGATTAGAGGATTCAAAGCAAGTTTAGAAGTATGCAAAGAAATGTTAGAGTTATGCGAAATTATTAACAAGCACGGTGAACCTCTTTTTACACTCAAGGAGAAGAAAAATGATCCACGCAAAGTGATCAGTTTTGGAGAACTATTTATTGTACGTACCTATTTTTAATATCGCGCATTAAAAATATCTGCATGGTCAAATTCGTTCAGCGCGGTCAAGCGTGCATTTAATTGGAACAGTATAAATGTAACTATTGATTCCAAATTAATCAATGAGTACCCTTTCGAAATCCTAAGCATGAATGAATTTAAAAAATAACGTCTCCGCTTTAACGCATGTTCGCCATCTCACTAATTAATTTTATTACAATTTGATTTTTTCAGATATACACTACAGTATCAAGTCAGTTAGTAGGAATGTTATTAAGAACCAGAAAACACAATTTAGTGGCATTTGAAGGAGAGTGTCTGTTCCAAGTAAGTATCATTCAATAAAATGATTTCAGTATTTAATTTTCGGTACCCTTTGTAGAGACGCGATGATCACGTCCCCATTATCCTTTTAAAACCAATAGAAGAAATCAGACAAATATTAAACCGACGAATTAATGAAACCTTAGCATTATTAGACGTGCATGAAAAACCTATTGATGAATTTTATGAAAAGGAACAGTGATATTATTTGTATTTAGCGTATAGATCTTTTATTTGTAAGAGCTCCTAGTTAAATTATTTGTACTTTAGGCAATATTTTGTAAACTACCTACATTCGTATTAAACTATTTTTACACTACCTACAAACCGTCAAGTTAAACAATCATTATGAGATGTGCCAAAAAAAACAGCACGCATCAGGGTTCTGAGGAACTTATTACAGAGGCACTAGAATGAAACTGTCGCGTGCATTTACATTTTCAAAATGCACAGAATAAAAATGTATAAGTACAGTATTCGTTGTGATGAAATGGATGCAAAACCAAAAAATGACGCTGCGCCCAATTTTCAAGAGCTTTTCGAAAGCTTCCAAATGATCGAATATTCCCCAAAAGTTTTGTTACATTGCAACGGGCTGTGGCAAGTTGGGTAAATTAAAAATCACGAGTCCGAAGGAGCAGTGGCTGCAATTTCTGGATATACCCACATTTATTCGCACCTATCTTACTAGAAGTAGTTGGTCCATTCGATTACGAGATTCATAACTATAGGTAGGTAAGTAACTATTCGAATCACTGCAACATACTTCATTCAACTTTTTCACTACAAAATTACCTACAGTAAAGAATTGGGCACCATCATCAAAGAAATTGCTGTATAATGGTTTTTCCCGAAGAATAAATTAGAATGAATCCGAGATATCCATGGTGTGATGAACTTAAAAAGGGGTTGACGTAAAATTAAATCATTAAAACCTTCCCCATACTAATTTTAATTATAAAAGGACGTATAAAGCCACTAGTTTCTGCCAACGGTCATCTTTTGGATTAGGAAAATTGCCTACATATTAAAACGGAACATTCTAGAAGGTATTGTCCACAATGTAATAGTTAAACTTGTCAGCTTTGTCTTTTCCAGATGCGTTTTTAAAAAAAATATGAATGTCCCGTTTTAATATGTGATTTCCATAAGCTAGTAGATTACTGTTGGTCGAAACTAGTCGCTTTACATCTTTTTGTAATTAAAATTAGTATGGGGAAGGTTTTGGGTTTAATTTAATGATACAAACTTAATTAGAGGAAATATAGATGAAGAAAGTAGATCTAGATCTAACGTAGAGAATTAGTAAATTAGAAAGGAAATTTTGTCAAGTTGCCAAAATACCCTTCGTACACTACTATAAGTCTATATATCTAAATATATTTTTCAAATTAAATACATACAAAATTAAACTGTTTAGGAATTCTAAAAAACCTCGAAAATATGAAAGGTAAACCGAGATTATACAAATCATCATAAAGTGTAACGTCTTTGTATAATAAAAATATTTTCAGAGAAAAATACAAATTAAAAAACACATGGTTTCTATATCCTGTGTCCTTTTTCGAACAAACAAGTAACAATTTGGTGCTGTTCAGGTTGAAGAAATAAAATCTTCCGATGATAAAATTCAGTAGGGTGAATATAGTAATATCCCTCATGCATCACATTATTATGTCAAAATGAGAATGCAACATTGTGAATCTTTTGTGATAAAACGCCATCACGGCACAAGCCCACACCTAAAATAACAGCAGAACTAATTTTTGAAATTCGTTAATTAAATTAGTTAAGATGTTTCACACAGAATGCAGGTTAAGCCATAAGTGTTAAATGGGGTTGTTGGACTTGTTGTTACAGCAATAAGGGATGGAAATGTTACCTAATAATAAAAGATGACCATGAATTAAAAATAAATAATTATGAAACAGGCGTCATTAGACTTAGCTACTGACTATAATTTATTATCACCCTCCCACATTGGCATAAGTGGAAACGAAAGAGCTGATCGGGCTGCAAAAGAAACCCTAAACATGGACCTGACTACTGAGCAAATGCAGCTACATACTGACCTGCAGAACTGTCTAAGAGAGTCAATCATCGCAGTAAGTGGCAAAATGCTTGGAGCTTTTCCAACACCAAGTTATCCGAAATTCAGCCTACAATAATGACCACTAATCTACCCTCAATGAATAGGAAGAATACAGTCATAATTCGAAGGTTGAGGATTGGTCACACAAGGAAAACCCATGGATATCTTTTTGAAAATCAAGACCCTCCATATTGTGAATGCAACGAGCCTTTGTCCGTGAACCACTTCCTCTCACAGTGTCCACTGCAATTGGAAATCCGACGCAAATACCATATTGGAATGGACCTTAAAAAAGACCTCTCATTACCGAAAAGTATTAAAAACGTACTAAACTTTCTAAGAGATACAAACTTGTACAATTTTATATTATAATAGTCTAATAAGCGAAATATTATTAGAAATACGTGTATTGTAAGTAAAGGTACTTGTAGACGTGCCAATGGCCACTAATAGTCGAGGCACACAAATTTAAAAAAAATAAAAATTTATTATCAGGATTCAGGGATATAAGACAATTAATTTATTTTCAATAATGTTAAAGTACATTACTCTGGTTGTGCAAAATTCCTGCGAACGTTTTTAGATAATTGCTTCTCCTAGGATACTCATCTTGACTTGGTCTGTAAAAAATTGAACCAATATGTTTCGATCTGTTAACAATTTTAAAACATGCTGGATAGACACTTTACTCAGCACATACTGTTCATATGCTTAAAGATATAGTGCAATAGTGTATAATATTGTTGCCTGGAAATTAGAACGTAATCTTAAAAGAGTTTGTCTTACAAAAGCTTAAGTCTACTCTTTTGTTTAGACCCCCGAACTTCGTGTCGAAATACCTTTCAAGAAAACAAAATTTTAACTGTAGCCTCTCTTTATTTACCTACTGAAATTATTATGTTACACTTCTAGAAACAAATTTCAATTTCGGAAAAGCACTGTCCAACATACATATGAGACGCGAGGCAAGTAGGGACCTATAACATTATAGGAATTAGTCTTTTTAACAAACTCCCAGCAAAGGAAGCCATTAAATTTAAGCGAGCGGGCTAAAAAGTATTTTAATAAATAATTGTTTATATTCGCTGGGAGAATTTATTGAAGCCTTCTCGGCATTTCTGACAGAAAAATGCTATTAGGCCACGGACCTCTTAAAAAAAATTTAAGAGGGCTGGCTGGCTGTCCTTCTGAAATCTCAGAAATTACAATAGGTAGAGACTTCAAATTTTCACTAAAAGCTTTCTGATGTGCAAGCTCTAGTCTATTTTGAGTTAGATCACTCGTGAGATCGATAATTTTAAACTTTGCAAATAAAATACCGATATGCATTACCAAAAATGCTTAAACTGAAGTAACGATTAGTATCTGTTTGTACATCGTCGGTCTTGTCGAATTATAGTCTGGCCCTACCTTTCTTAAAATTTATATCATATTACCTATATAGACCCAGATAACGTCCACTATGCCATTATGTTGAAACATCACCCATTAGCTGGAAAAGAAAAACTTTTACACATATAATGTAATATTTGCATATGGTGCTTACCTACTCAGACAATTGGCGCGAGGAAATCGTAATTCCTGTTCCTAAACCGAGAAAGGATTTCAAATCAAATCAAATATTGTTTATTGCTTACTATTACTATTACCATTGTCTATTACATAGTGACAGCTGTTCAGGGCAGTGTCCAAAACCTAGAAATAATAGACACATGCTGAAATATATACAAAATGCAATTCTATAATATTTTAAATAAATACACATACAAAAACATTCATTATATGCGCAATTAATGCCCGCCGGTATAGTGAAGCTAAAAACCCTCTCCTCAACAGGCCAAATCATTACTTCATAACCTGGAGTCCATCTAAAACAAAATTAAAAAGATTTAAACAATCCATTATACCTTGGAGAACAAAACAGGACAAGAAGGGAAGAGGTAGTCATTCGAAGATTGACGACAGGGCGTACTAATACAACTTTTACATCTTCTGGGAAAAGGACAGAGCGCAGATGCGCGAACTGCGACATACCACTATCAATTAATCATGGGACAGACGAACGGATCATGTTCGCTAGTGTGGGACTTTTTTAGGATTTCTGGAGCAATAAACGTGATAATCGTGGAAGGGTGGGTGATAGGATGGAATTCTTAGAATTGGGAAAGATTTAAGGGTATTTCAGGACGCACGGTTGGACTAGCCGCCTCCTGTTCCATTGGTCGCCTTCTACGACCTCCAGGGCGGGAGTGGGTCAATTCTGCCCCTGAGCCCAGAGGGGGTATTATTATTTATGTTAGACGATAAATGTGGCCACTTATGAACACAATTTCGATCGTTATTTGAGTTCGAAGTCAATGTTTTGTATTGGAGTTATTGGATGTTAATTTTATGTGAATAATAATCGCCTTGAGATTTGTTTATTTTATTGCACTATTGAAAGATAAGGACTTTGGGAAATCATTGCATTGTGTTATTTTAAGTTTACCTCGTGCCATTGAGAGAAAGCAAAAATTTATTGAAGCTCATTATATACTTACAAAATTTGCATGTAGTTCAAGATTAAGTTAGGAGGAACGTTTTAAATAGCAGAGGAAGCTTTCTTTTGATGTTTAGGAGTTTGCAAGGCAGTCAGTCTTGCTAATTGCAAAGTTTTGATAGAAGAAAGTGCGGAAATACATTATAAATAAATGTAAATATTACTACCTGCATTAAATGCATAACACAAAAATATCAACAAACAAACTATAACAAGATGTTTTCGCGACAAAAGTTAAAACGAAGAGGCTACTAATTTCTTATGGGCGCCATGTTGAATTTTTGTGGAACTCTATACTACTACCAAGTATACTAGATCTTGCTACATCAACGGGGCTATGATTTCAAAAGAATTTTTTTAGGCAACCATTTGCAATGTGTTTTTATACATATTAAGATTGCTAAAAAATGTATTTCACTCAGTAAACAGATGAGCGAAGGTTGACTTTATGTGGGATCTTGTCCTATTTACCCCCACTTAACCTACACTGGATCTCTCACCGTAGCGGAGATCCCTATGGTCAGCCATGAATTTGAATCACCTTGTATAGTGAATAGTTGTGAAATGCCTATAACAAACAGAATGTTAATCATTAAATATAAAAATAGTTAACAAAAACCGATCTCTAAAATATAAAATTTATTTGTAATTAAATAAAATTAGTATATTTAAACAAGTCAATTTGAACAAATAATTTATACAAAGGCATATACAGTACTAAATATCCATTTGTAATAACGATCTACATTTAAACGTACTGAATACAAATTCTCACTTTTAAAATAACTAAACCTAAGATTTATCAATAATTTTATATATTTCAGAAACGGGATTATCACTTTTAACAATTTGCACCAGTGTAATTCGTTCAATTCAACTCGGGTAGTTCTCTCGAAGGTGTGATAACCGATTCTGAAATAATTCACAGCAATATATTTGTCTTTCGCAACAAACAGTGCACCATAATAATTGGAAGAAGCAATCGGGCACAATTAAGAAACCTCTCACTGAATAAATTTATACACTAAGCTGAGTACTAAGATAAGCAACTAAAGGCCATAGGCACCGCCAAATTTAAGCAGCGACGGCATCACATTTTGTTGCTTAATTTTTACGGTGCGTATGGGCATAATAAATATCCCAAAATTATCTGTGTTTAAAGCGCATTCACAACGGGTGTATAACGTAAGAAAGGAAAAATATCTGATTAGGTGCAGGTAAAACGATTTATAAATATTGTAATCTGCTTAAAACGTTGTAAAGCGTTTAGGTGTGGCTATTGCAGCAGAATAAGCTTGCGTCACGTTTTTCTGGGCGGCGGAGGCGGGGGTTGTGTTACACAAACTACAGTAGAATTATTGATCAGTTTTCTTTCTTTTACAGGAATGTTTTCATATATCGTAGGCCGTGGTAAATCTTCTGGCGGCCTGAAAGGTTAATTAAAAAGGTAAATGTAAATTTTGAATCAAACAAATCAAGCGTGAAATGCTGCCTATGACAGCGTAATTCCACTTTTGAGATATCTTACTGTTCGGGTGTCAATACAAAAAATGCAAAAATGGAGCACGTCTTACCTAGGCAGTTGTATATCAGACACAGCCCTCGGTTGCTTTTTGCTTTCAGACCGTAACACAACGGGAGGTGTAACTATAGAAGGACTATACGGTAAGTTAAGCACTGAACGGTTCAATGTTGTTGTACTTCCAATACCACTCAAACTTGAAGACAAATTACTATTCGGAAGACTGTTTGTATCGTTGCTATACCTAATATTTGTATACTCTCTACCTAATTGAATTGATTTCTACAAAAGCAAAGCTACACAATGAAAGAATTATTATTAATGTAAACAAACCTGTTCGGCTTTCATGCGTTCCGTAATAGTTTCTATATGGTGTTGTACCGCTAAGTACACAAATTTATACTGAGCTTCAGTCTGTACCATACCAGATCTTTGAGATCTTACCATTTGTATTGTACGTTGTATATCAATTTCACAGTCAAATCCTAAAATATGGCTCAAAAATTTCTGTATTACAACCTTAAGTGAAATTGCACACCATTTTTCTTTATTTGGTCCAAAATCATGTCAATAACAATAAACGTTCCAGTACGGCCTATACCGGCCGAGCAGTGAACTAAAATAGCGCCAGGTGGCTGATCGGTTGGCAGCTCTTGCGCCAACGACTCTTGTCGTTTATTAACTTCGTGTAGGAAATTTAATACGCATCCTGGATCGGAAGGTACGCCGTGATCGGGCCACGCCTACAAACCTAAATTGCATAATTCAGGTCTTACATGTAGATATTACCTGAAAATGATACTGAAAAACTTTTCGTTCCACTTTATTCAATTTTGCAAGGAATTCTCTTAAAGTATAATGGGCCGTTGAGGATTCAGCTACGTTTTTTATGGACATTTTTCCGAAATCTTTGCTTGTGTTTGGTTCTGGCCAGTACCTGGCGCATTTGTTCTGAAATTTGAATTTTAAAAGAATCATAAAACATTTGAATGTGCAGACATACTGCAAACCTGCATTGATGAAAAAATAATAAAGCAATAATAATAGCAAAATAAAGGTTTGAGATTTATGGCAGCCGATGGCTAACACCCAAAAATTCAACAAAAGCTTCCCAAATCTGTCAACAGTAGAATTTTATATATGTATTTGGAATCATTGATCATTACGCTCACATCACTAAAGGTAGATACACTGTACACACTATTATAACAGGATACCGCCTGGGTGTAAACTACTTTCTTTACCTAATTTCAAAAAAACTTATAAAAATTTGCTTTTCAGTCGTCAGAATGTTTAATGTGTATCCTTTTGAATAGTGGTTTTTTACTTTTTGTTGCATTTTCTTTTCAGAGTAATGTTTTGAAAGTATACTATTATTTCACATTAGTTTTTTTTGTGTATTATTTCTAATTATATAAATTATTGCGTATTTTGTTGTTACGTTCGTCAAGGGTTAGGTGGAAGAGCAGTTTTACTGAACCTCCCCTTGTGATTTGTTCTTGTATTATTCGTTGTTTTTTTTACGAGTTGTACTAAAGGTTGTTTTGCTGACAAGATCAAATAAAGACATTTATTATTATTATTATTACAGGTGAACCTGTCAATTCTACCTGTCACAGGTGACTTTTCCAAGTGGACCTAGGAATATGGATGAGCAAAAACTGACAGTATCACAATAGATATTCCAACTACTGCTGTGGATACAACAAATGTTCATGTAGACTGCAACACAACATTTGAATCATTCTCTTGACTTCCTGTGGTCCTTTGGACTGTGAAGTGGAGCTTCATCTCATCCAAGATGGAGTGGATATATGGAGACCGCTAATCAATCTCAGTCCCATCAAGTATCAGCTGTGATTTCAAAGCCTTTCATTAACCTAAACCCCTCATGAGAAACCAGGATTTCCAAAAATCTGAGTAGGCAATGGTACATGCGTGAGAGCGCAAAAAATGTATAAGTTATCAAAGTGACTACTTTTCAAGCTTGTTCCAGGTAAATTCCAGGAAACCTTAAACTGAAAATATTTTAACGTCAACATATTAAGAACAGAAGAAAGTCGTTTAGTATTTAAAAATAATTGCCTTTATTGAGATTGATATTAAAGAGCACAAACAGCGTGATTTGTTAAGAATATGGCGAAGTTCAGTTGGCGGAAATCCGCGTCCTGCTCTTTCACCTAACCCTGTAAGTGATTGATGTGAAACAGTGACTGGACATGTTGATCTATAAATCGCCAGGATCATAGATGAGATGAAAAAATGAGTTACATATTTTATGATTTTGTTCTGATTTCCAAAAGACGGTTTTCCATGTACACATTAATTTTTGGGGCCGAGTATTTGAAAACTTCCTCATGCAGAGAGTTATACATGGCGTCCTGAAACCCATTCTAGCTTTTCCCTAGGAAAATTCCAGTTTTTGCAAGTTATTTGAGACTGGAATGCACAGGACAATAAATCTGAAATCTCAAATGCCTTGTAAAATGTGACCGAATGAAAAAAAATTGTATAATTTGTAACGATTCACTTGAAATTCCACTTTTCTCAGGATATCCCACAAGGAAGGTCGTGGTACTTTTTTTAAGCGTCATCCTAGAAGGTGTCCAAACCTATTTCAAAAGGTTCCGGTTAATAATTATAAATGTCTGGGTCAAAACCAAATTTGCCTTCAGTAAGTATGGAGTATGGTGGCCGAGATGGTTGGCTCAAGTTGTACTTAGTTTCCTGGAAAAACGCCCACAGTTCCACCACTGTCGGAGGTAATCACCCTGCTGGCTCTGGCAACAGCGCACAGAATCTCGAATAACATTAAAACGAAAGATTTTGATCGAGGACAAGATCAAGAAGTTGAGAATAGGAAAGCGACAGCCCTGCTTACACCTTTCTTATTTTGAAGAAAACCCCAACCTTGTGTAGCCACAATGCCCAAACAGTACCCGTGGCCACCAACTATCCTTACTGCTAAGTAGATTTAAGATAACATAGCCATTAATGCTGAAAATCCTCTTCTTTTTAAACAATTGCATGGTACTTATTCTACGTAAAGTCTTCAGATTTGATAGCGAAATATACTTAGACGACCAAACAAATTTACCAGTGAAGTTCGATTGTAATTATATGTGACATCCAATCGGAAGGCATTACAAACCACCCACCCATACCCAGATTTTTTCAGCTAGAATTTTTAAACAGAATGAAGTCAGTAGCATCCGGCGCGCCCCGCGAGTAAACATGATGGAGTGTCTACAAATTTTTTCATCAACACAATGTCTTATTTAAAAAGCGTGCATACAGCACTACAATCATTTTAACCTACCTTTCCTCTTTCAATTTCTTTGGTAGTCATAACAATCACACGACAATTCTCTTGCCAAACCATTTTCCAAAAATCATCTACGGTTGAAGGTAAGCAACCTAAAACACAAATTGTCAATTTTTTCGTAACTAAATCAAGTAGGCGTTACCTTGCGTTGCAATATACATTTTACCACTGGGATCATTAGGTAAATCATTTCCACTATAAGTATCGTCCCATTTAATATAATTTGCATTTATGTAATCGGTGCCGGCGACCGCCGGATCGGCATCTTTTAATTTTACCCTTGTATGATCAACTGATAATTAAATACTAATTGTATAAACACATTACTCAACAACCGACATACTCACAGGGTAGAATATTTTTATATCTATTTTTATTTCTATTTTCAGCCTTAATACCTTCTTTTCTAGAATATAAATGCTTAGACTCTTGCTGCTGTAACGACTCGAACTCCTCCCAAAAACCGGCCTTGCCAAAATGAGTTAACCCATTCTCCTTCTAATAAGCATTTTGTATAAGCACTTATTTGAATTAGTACTATCACAATTACCTGTAACTGTTTAACCCTACTATGAATACCGGATGCACTTATTCTAGTTGCGTTAAATGGTTGCTTTAAATGTACTACCGTACCTGAAGTTTCAACCATTGGATTTTTTTTGTAATGCTCAATGAGATCCGCTAAACTCTTAAATTTTTCACCTCCGCCGACATCGTAAAAATTGTCCTGACATCGTATCATCACGTGAGTCACGCGATCGTCTGTACGCACTGACAGCACAAAATCTCCGGGTTTCGATTGACTTTCCCTCACTAAAAAACTACCATTCTTTCCTCTTTCCAGAATTAATCGTTCCGCTTCTTTCCCGCTTAGATGCCCATGAAACCACCTGTAAATAAAATGTAATTCATGAACAAGGTCTACATGTTGAATTTTAATGCAGTTAATTTGTAATAATAACTTAGATTTAGAAGATACCAAGTTATGTAACTTGTCATTTTCCGAATTAAATTATATTATTTCTCACTTTGCGAATTAAGTGAATTACAGTTTGGCGTCAATAATATGAAATCCTTATGACGGGGATTTTTAAACAATATAATTAAACCGAATGACCTTATTACCATTTTCATAAATTAAATAAACTGTTAGCCAAGGAAATTACTATGAGCATAATTAGACAACGCAAGCATGTGATTATATCAATTAGATAAGTTAAATATGTAATAGGTAGTTTTTATAATCCGGTAGTCTCGTGAGCGCCTAATGAAGGACCCAAAAGTTAGAGATGTAGCCACATCATGAAATTTTATATTAACTAGGTATTTGCTGCTTAAATTGTAGCTGAATCGGGTATAAAGCCCACAAAGTAATTAATTTATTTTTGTTCAATTAAGTCTGCTGCATTTTGACTATTGACAAAATCTATGGTGCTTGAAAGATATGATATTCTCTGCCTTGTTACACAAATACTTCAGAGATTGGAAAAAAACTTTTGGTTCTCCTGATAAAGAATAGTAACAATTAATACTATAATTGGTAGCCTAGAAGTCATATCAAATATCGCTATTGATAGCTTAAATATGTAGCCTATATATGCCGTCCATTATGTTGAAATTAAAGTTGTTGCCTTTTCACTAATTTTGTTTGGAAATAGACCTAACTTGATTGCTAAATAAACAAGGCATGAATTGCACTGTGTCTACTATAAGGATGTCTACCATGGGGATCTCCGAAACCATATAAGATACGACAATGATCAAATTAGAGAAAGAATTACCGATTTCATTTAAATTTTTCTCTGATGTTACGAGAACAGATATAAAGAAATAAAATACACTTTCTCATTGCCACTTTTTGAGCTCTACAAGACACCGTCGAGAGATTTTCAACACGTTTTGGAGAAATCATCAACTTTAATTTTTATATATCGCCTGTAAAAAATGTAAATACAGTATTGAGCAGTTTTTTTTTACTACAAATACAACGATGTATGACACAAAAAAAAAACAAAAGTTGCAACTCTGTTGGTTTCAAGAACCTATCAGACATATCTTCCATTTCCCAAGAAATCTGTCAGACAGGTTAAAAAAATTGTTTAATTTCTTATATTAGTCAACAAGTCCGTTGGTTGATCTGGATTACCACTCGACATTCTAAACCCGTCAAGAATTATAAGCTTCCTAGGAAATAAAATCTGAAGCATCGCCCAACGTTTGAATTTTTAATCCTAGGTCAAATTTGGCATCACTGACTTGTATCTGGAAAGTTTCAGCAATAAATTTTTGCAAATCTTTTTCATTCTTGCTATCAGGTCATCATGGGAGCGTTTCTATAGATATCGAGGGTGTGTTTAACAAGAACACGTTCGATTCCATTAGTGAGGCTGTTGATGGGTCAATCGTAAGATGGGCTCAGCTCAGAAGCAGAGATGAGCTCATCGATTACTAGAGGATATCCGCAGGGTGGAGTGTTCTTTCCACTGCTGCGGTGCCTGGTACTACACTGGCTTCTCTGCACTCTGAACGAGGACGGAGCGTATACACAGAGATACGCGGACGGACGGGCGATTGTCATAAATCAAAAGTTTCCAAACACCGTGAAAGAGGGGAACTCTTGGGACAGGTGGATAGATGGTGCAGTAGCAATGGCCTTTCTGTTAACCTCGAAAAGACCGAGGTCGTTCCATTTATGAATAGAAGGAGAGCAGACCTTGATGGGCTTACTCTTCAAAGACTTCAACTGAATCTGACCAGGTTAGTGAAGTATTTTGGAGTCATCCTGTCTGACCTGGAAAGGGCACATTGAGCAAATAAGCAAAAAATAAATAAAAAAATAAAGGCAAAATAAAAATACTGTACGCTGTACTTGTATGACCGCCTGCCATGCGCAGGGCAACCTACAGAAAGCAGCTAGGAAAGGTTCAGAGACTCGCCTGTCTGGGGGTCATTGGAGCCATGAAAACCAAGCCAACTTTGGCCATGGAGACCCTTCTGGGGCTGAAGCCTTTACACTTAGCTGTGGAGGCAGAGGCTCGTAAGGCTTCCATATGGCTAAACGATAGGGATGAGTGGAAGGATCGGGGCAGTCTTGGACACGAGCGGGTCTGGGAGGAAACCTTCAGATCCGATCCCATCCTCTCAAGAAGCAATGTGATCCGAGCTATCTTACTAAGACCAAAGAGTTATAAAGTTACTCTCCCGGACAGGGAGGAGGCTGAGCTCAGATTGCACATTCCTCAGAGGCTCGTGCAGTTTACAGACGGATCCCTAACAGAAAATGGAACGGGCATGAGTATAACAGCTTCTGCCTTGATTAGCATAGCTCTGTGTTTCAGGCAGAGATGATCATGATTTGTGCACAAGAGAACCTAAGGGCCCGTTTAGCAGACAGGTTCCGATCGGCTACGGCGCTTGACTCTAGGTAGATTAGGCGAACCTCTTAAAGTAAGCTTGATCTGGATGCCACTGTGGAATAGGGGGCAACGAAAGGGCGGACAAGCTGCCTCGTGCAAGCAGTGGTGGGGTCTTCGTAACGTTCGAGCCTAACTCAAGTCAATTCCAGGCGCAGTGACAACAAGCAACCGGACTCGGACAGTCCAGAAGGCCTAATTTTAACAGGGCTCCTTGGTAAATCTGGATCTTCTAAGCTTCTAACACTGAAAAGAAGCGAGATTAGAAAGTACTGGTTGGTAAAGTATCATCTGCATAACATTGGGCTTGTGGAGGAGCCCATGTGCAGGATTTGTGACGAGGCAGATGAAACTACCGAGCATATGGTCTGTCACTGTGACGCCCTGATTAGAGACAGACATAGCCTCCTTGGGGACAGGTATCTAGAATTGGGGAGGGTGAAGCAACTTGGGTCCCATCCTTTATTGAGAGGAACAGGCTCTGAACTGGGCCTTTGGTGCGCTTGAATGGTGCCCGGTCAGACTCCCCTGCGAATTGATAGATAGATGCCCTCGGCAAGCGCTTTCGTTGATTAGTTGATTAGATGAAAAACTACAATTGACTGAGTAGTTACTAATTAGCTTGTAATTTAGATAGGCAATTTAATATGAAAGCAGTAAATCAAATTGGCAGGGGAGTAAATTCAGCCAAATTCAACGATCTCGGGAAACCTATGATCACGCTATGAAGAAACTTCTAAGTAGTTTGGAAATCTTGAGTTTTTATGATATTTTTCCAAGCACTATTATATATAGTGAACACTACTTTTGACTGGACGGTGGTCTAGTCTCTAGTATGCGAAAAAGAGCAAACGTATGGTTTCGATAGCCAAAAATTTTTAGTCATATGACCATCAATCCTGGTAAGGATAGCAAACCTCATAAGTCATAACTGATGATTGGTGCCAAAAAAAACGTGTACCAAGAAAGGCACCGTTGCTGAACATTAGTTTCCTGTTTACTTTACCTTAGCCAAAATGCACCCCTACAGTGTGTACCACAAGTGAACCACACAGTGCAGCACTTTCACTTAATCCAAAATTTCTCTCTTCAAAAATTGATGCGCAATATCACTACCAAATCGAAGAATGTACCAATTAACGAAGTGTGAAAAATGAAAAGTGCGCTCGTTTGCGTAACCACTTAAGTTGTTATTTTGCGACTATATTTGTTAACGTGAAACGTGCAAACGACAACGTCTAATTTTGGTACAAACATTCGCAATTTATTCATAAATTATTTACATAGAATTTACATTTACTGGCCTTACAACACTAAATTACTCCATGCGCTCAGGAGAATAGATCCATTTTATTGAATAACCTTCACTTGAAGAATACGCCGATCGCAATTATTTATTGATTTACAATAAAAACTCTCCCTATTACAAAAATTTAGTCACTACGGTGCATTTCCGTGAACAAATTCGTGACACAGATAATATGAATCACAACTAATTATTGGCGCCTTTTATGGAAAATATTTAAAATTCTTACTCAAAAAATATAGCGGCCTTCCTAAGCTCCTGAACGGCGGTCGAAATTATTATTTGCGCCGCCGGTATTGCAATAATCGAACAATCTACTGGTAAAGGATAACGAGTCATTTCAATGCAATGTTCCTTTTAATAACAATAATCACGAAACTATGCGCACATTTAACACTACAATAAGAAACCTCGCTCTTTACTACACTAAAGTTCGTCGCAAACTACTTGAACGAAAAAAAAAACTACCTGGTAAACATCAACTTTACACCTCCTCACGTGCGTTTCGTATACGGGCACCTTGAACTGACCTGTCAATAATTAATTCCAAAATTTTACTCATTGATGACGGCGAAGAGTTACTATCGCTTTCAATTTTGACGAAGTTTGGGAAAATCTCTTGCGCGCAAATGAATTTAAATATTTTAATTAGCTTATAAGGATTTAAATTGGGGAACGAAAAGCGTATCGAAATAAACAAACCTTGAGAATACGAATTTTTATTGTAGCCGCGTCTTCGGACGACAATGAAAATAAGGCGTCCAAATTTGGAAGCGTAGCAATGGAGCGCGGCCTAGAACTAGATTTTTTGGTAGCACACTCAAAATTCACATTGAACGTGGAGGATCTTGTCAAAAATGAGAAGAAAAGGCTGTAGTTTTGCGAAAAACGATTGCTTTATCTCTTGGGAATAGGACACTATCTTGTTCAGAATACACACGTCTCCAAAAGCATATATGTGCAATCCTAAATAATGTGACAAGACACGTTTCCCTTTGACTTTTATTGCCATTCTGATAAATAACAGTTACCAGTAAACAGTAGCTGCATATTATGGTCAGATTATGGAATGAGTGTTACGGATGTATTTTGATGTGCAATATCCTTCACAATGAGGACACTCTTACGAAAATATGAGACAGTAAAAAGTAACTGAAGACATTACATATGC